TTGTTTTTTTCTAGTTGATGGTATGTTAAGCTTTCACCGAGAACTTAATATTACTGAGGGAGCTGCATAAAAACTCCGTCAAATAAAGAAACGTAAAAGCTGATATTTAATAATGATGACAAATCTAAGTTGAGGGACCTCTATCTCGCCATGCTTCTTGTTCTGGAGTTGATCCTGGTAGATGACAGTACACTTGTTGGATATAAACTTAAAATTAAGACTCGCAAGCAGTACAAGGTCCACGGATATAGATTTGATCCTGGGGGCATCACACTTGTTAGATATAAACTTTAAAATTTAAGACTGTTTTTCAGACAAGTTCCCCACGGCTCAGTGGGTAGAGCAATCGACCGTGTTAGCGGTCCCTTCTAGGGTTCAAATCCTAGAGCGGGGAACTTGTCAGTTGTTTTTTATCTTTTTGACTTGTTACTTCATTTGTTTCTTGATTTTTTTAATTATTATTTCAGACTTTTCTATTTTTTTTCGAGTTCATGGAGAACGGACGTTTTTCAAAAAATCACAATTTGCCTTCCGGAGTTGATCTTGGTAGACGGCAGTACACTTGTTTGATGTGAACTTAAAATTATGACTCATATTCAGACAGGTTCCCTGAAGCTCAGTGGGTGGAACAATATACCGCGAAAGCGGTCTCAGCCAGAAATCCTCGCTTGGTGAACTTGTCAGATTTTTTTTATGAATTTCTTCTTTTTATTTTCGCTTGTTTGTTTATTTGTTTTTCTCTTTTCTTTGCTAGTCTTACCAATGATAAGTGCTTAATGCTTTATCTGCTGTTTACTTTTTATAATAAGACAATGTTTTCTTCGGGTTGATGATAAGTTACTTTTAAACCAAATAATTAAAATTAGGGAGCTGCAATGGAATAGAGTGAGAGCTGTTTATGATGAACTGAAATGACCAATCCTAAATAATAACCACAAACTTAACTCAACAGACTCACCATTCTTCTGGGGTTTTTCTCAGCTGTGCACTGTGCACTTGTTTCGTGAAGACTTAAAGTTGCACCTTCTTGCGGACAGGTTCCCCGCAGCTCAGTGGGTAGAACACTTCAACGCGAAAGCGGTCTCAACTAGGAATACTAGCCTGGGAAACTTGTCCTTTTTTTTTTCTTTTGACTTCTTTTTCAGTTAACTAATTTTTTGGCTATTTGTGTTTGCTTTTTTTCTCTTTGCTGGTCTTACTAATAAATAAGTGCTTGGGGTCTTTTTTTAGTGGTTATAAGGCAATTTTATTTTCGAGTTAATGGTGTGTTAAGCCTTCACCCAAAACCCTCAGTAACAACCACAAATATAAGTCGATGAACTTCATCATGTCATACTTCTGGATTTGATCCTGGTAGTAGATAGCACGATTGTTAAATATAAATTTAAAATTTAAGTTGATTTTCAGACAAGTTCCCAGCAGCTCAGTGGGTAGAGCAATCGACCGTGTTAGACCTTCCTAATAATCAGTTTTTTAGGTTTTTTTTTCGAGTTCATGGAGAGCGAACATTTTGCAAAAAATTCATAATTTGCCTTTGTGAAAGTCTTCTTTGATCTTTAATATCGTACTTCTTACGAAGATTCATTTCTTTACAAATTTTCCAAAACCCAATGGGGTTTCTGACGCGTTCCCCAAAGGGCTTAGAAACAAAAGCCTTGTTATATTTGTGACGGAACCATCATTGATTGGTTGGTTTCTCTACTCCATATTCATAGAAAATTCTAAACTTCTCGCAAACCAAACAGGTTGTGGACGGGTGAGGACGGTTTTTACCATGGAAGTGTTTGATGCTGGAACAAGACTAAAGCTTGAGAGCTGTCTGAAGGTGAGCATTGTGCTAAGATTTCAAAGTTGCTAGTTTAATTCATTTTATTGCCCTTAGCCTGAGAGTAATGAGCAAAGTTTCTGAGTTAGTGCGCTTTCGGTTCGCTTCATGCTTCGCCTTCGACCTGAAGAACTGTCGTTTATTTTGTTTGCCTTGCAATTTTTGGAGAAGAGGTGCACCAGTCTGTAGTTGCAACAAATATTGAGTCAAATTTGGAATAAATAATTCAAATTTGTTTAATTTTTATAAAAAAGAAAAAAATGGCCTGGCACATAATTTATCCAATTCACGTAGAATGATGCCACGTGTTTCTGCAGTCTTATGGCAATTGCATGCCTTTCTTAATTCGCGGAGGAACTGTCGTGGTACAATTTCGCAAACGTGCTTTGTGATGAAGTTCATCGGTGCCTATTAGAACATCGTTTTAGCTTCTCAAATTCTGCAAACTCGATAAACTGGCCCTCGGACTTTGCTGCCATTAGACTTTTTAAAAGTTAAGAATTGAACAACTTACTAAATACTGCTTTGCCTATTTCTATTTAGAGTGAACTTGGCTCACGGAGCAAGACAGCCGAATGAAAGAAGAACAAGAGGAAAACCTGGCTCAATCAGTGTAGAAGAAACTCTTCAAAGATAAGAACTTTAAAATTACTTTATTGTCTTAACATAAATGGTGGCTGCCACAATTAAGATTTATATTTTCTCGGGAATTTTAAAGAATAGGTTATCAGGATAGACTGATTAAAAACAAACCTGTGCAAGGGGTGATAACTTCTAAGAGTAGAAGTTATGCCAAAAAGACTGATGTATAGGCTATGGCAGCCACCAATAGAGGTGGATTTTTTAAGGTGGCACTCTTGAGAGAAAGAAAATCTTGAAAGAAAAAGTCTGAAAAATGGAAAGATTAAAGATAGCATAGTTATCATAGTCATAATGACGAACTAAATTATTCAAACCTTTCTCGTTTGTTACAGAAATCGCTATTTAGCCATGAGCCATTTTATCGTTTTGGCTTTAAAAAAAAATTCTTTATTTGGAAAACTGATTTTTTGAGGGTCATTCTTCTAAAATTTGGTTGTTTCAGTCAGTGCCACCTTAGCCTTTTCACACCTTAATAACAATAACCTTTTTGCAATGGACAAGAGAACAAAGGCAACCAAAATTCACAAAAGTGATAAGTATTTATTACACGGTTTGTTTCCTTGGGTGAAAGAATTTGGCCATTTTTTGCTTCTTATAAGAGACGATACCACTTTGTGGTTACATCACCTTAACGATACATTTACCGCTGTGCGCAAGGACAAAATTGACGAACAGAGAAGGTTAAGACTTAAACTAACTATACAACTGTACTTAGCTGTTTATGAAACGCAGCAAATCACGACAAATTACTCGACGAATCATCCTACAACCTGTCATCATACAAAGCGGTTACTTTTAACGAGACGAACGCAAATAGTTTGAAATGCACCAAATAAATTATCCAACAAAACAAATATCAAGAACGTGATTATTACATAACCAACTAGAACGAGGATTTTATCAGACGAAACATCCACTGTTCTTCGTAAGTTAGATAGCAACGGCACCGCAACTGCGACGACTTTGAAGGCATATCCGAGATTGTCTCGCGGATCATTTATCCGTAAAAATATACGACATGACACGTGCTGTAACTGCAAATGTACACTGTACATCGGAGAGACTGGCAGGAATTCTCATCACAATAATGACCGCACAGAAACGAACCTCGAGAAATGGTCAAACTAACAGACATATTGCTGAACATCATCTACTTACAAACCAAACCATTTACTAGGACTATATATTTGACAATACAAAACCTACAATATTCAACGACTGATTTTTAACAACTAGTTTACAAGTAGACTACATTTGACAGATGGACTCATTTTACTTTGACATGGCACACGAAACGAATGGTACGAACTACACTGACTTGCTTCAACCGACAAACGCTAATAATTCCTAAAGCCAGTGACAATATGGTCAAGATTTACTCGCATGTCACGGCAACTTTTCAATTTTTCAATTTTTCTCCCAGGATTTCTGTAGAAAAATTAAAGTCCTAGAGGAAACTAATTTGCCTACGTTCTCTTGTCGTTTTGCAGCTTTAGTTAGTATATAAAACCTTTATGTCTGGTTCAAAGGATCTAAGAAAAATTTAGTTCTCTTGGCTTATAATACAGATCTAAAAATTGTTCTTTCCTCAAGTAAATCATAAGCACTTTCCAGTTGAGAGAATTGTTGATTACATGTGAACACTTTTTTTGCGTAGAAAAATTAAACCAACAATTTACAGTCTTATAAATCGCCACGAAATTTGTTACGATTTATCTTTCATATCACGGCGCACTCAGCTGTTAAAACAGTTGTGAGTAAACGAAATTATCCATCACCTTCAAGCGAAAGAAAAACGTGAAACGTGATTTTGTCCCTCATATATTCACAAAAAACAACCAAATTCAAGAATTTGAGGATTAAATTGTCAGTTTCACATATTTTTCCAAATCATTATCCTACCTGGAAATAATTGTTATATGAGAAGAAAAATAAACATTAATTTTCGTAAGAAAATTGAGTGCGACTTCACGTTAGAAAGGGGATTTTTTGCATTGAGCATTTCTTAACTCAATTACTAAAAAAGAACGAAATTAATTGACGATTATCGTCATGATTATGATAAGTGAATTTTTTTTCACTGAATGTAACATGGTGCACCAAAATATTTTCTCTCTAAATATTCTTTGAACCAGCCATTGGGTATTATATTACAACTTGTAATTTAGTAAGGCCTCTTTCAGCCTTGAGTTGATGAGACACAGGACTATAGGAAGTGTTGGAGATTGAAATTTGAATCGCTGCATTCATCGGTGAAAAATAAAACTGAGAATCTACTAAACCATTTCATTGACTTGCGTACTGGGGCCAAGAAATTGCCTGAATAACTTACATCCAAAAACAAATTACAGTTAACTTGGCTCACCAGACAGAAAAACGCGAAAGTTCGTTTTGATGTTAGAGGATCATTTTTCCTAAATATTTGTC